TTTCTCTTGAGTAGATCTAAAACTAAAAATATGAAGTATAATTTTATTAGTAATAGACCTAATGAGGCGTTTGTGACTTTGGGCGATCAAGTAATTAATAAAGTACACATTTTAGTTATCTTGGATCTATTGTTCAGAGTGATGGTGAAATAGAAGGGAATATTACCAACAGAATTCAAGTTGGATGGTTGAAATGGAGGAATGAATCGGGCTGGTTGTGTGATAGAAAAGTCCCCCTCAAACTTAAGGGAAAATTCTATAAGATGGTGGTGAGATCTGCAATGCTTTATGGTGCTGAATCTTGGTCATTGAAAGAGAAGCATAATACTAAGTTAAGTGTTGCAGATATGAGGGTGCTCAGGTGGATGAGTGGCTTTACCCCTAGAGATAGGATACTAAATGAGCATGGATGTTCTTTTTGCTTTAGTCATGGATGTTCTCACTAGATATTTGTGAGAGGATGCCTTATTGTATGATTTTTATTGATGATATTCTTCTTGTTGATAAGACTAGAGAGGGAGTTGATGGTAAACTTGAATTATGGAGGTCAACCATAGAGTCTAAAGGTTTTCGCTTGAGTAGATCTAAAACTAAATATATGAAGTGTAATTTTAATAGTAATAGACCTAGTGAGGGTTTGTGGCTTTGAGCGATCAAGTCATTAATAAAAGTATACATTTTAGATATCTTGGATCTTTTGTTCAGAGTGATGGTGAAATAGAATGGGATATTATCAGCAGAATTCAAGTTGGATGGTTGAAATGGAGGAATGAATCAGGCTTGTTGTGTGATAGAAAAGTCCCCTTCAAACTTAAGGGAAAATTCTATAAGATGGTGGTGAGATCTGCAATGCTTTATTGTGCCGAATCTTAGTCTTTAAAAGAGAAGCATAATACTAAGTTAAGTGTTGTAGAGATGAGGGTGCTCAGGCGGATGAGTGGATTTATCCCTAGAGATAGGATATGAAATGAGGATGGATGCTCTTTTTTGCTTTAGTCATGGATGTTCTCACTAGACATTTGTGAGAGGATGTACCTTATTATATGCTTTTTATTGATGATATTATTCTTGTTGATAAGACTAGAGAGGGAGTTGATGGTAAACTTGAATTATGGATACCAACCATAGAGTCTAAAGAGAGAGTCGCTTTACATGGTTTGGTTACATTAAACGGAGGCCTTCTGATGACCCGGTAAGGAATGTTGAGGTATTAGATTTGACTTATGATAAGAAAGGTAGAGGTAGACCTAAGCATCCTCATCTCTGCAACACTTAACTTAGTATTATGCTTCTCTTTTAATGGCCAACATTTGACACCATAAAATTTTGAAGTTGTTTTTGCTCGGCTGGATGACTGACTTGACTCTTAGAGATATGGTACGAAATGAGCATATACGTGATAAGGTTGGAGTAGCTCTAGTAGAAGATAAGATTAGAGAGAGTCGCTTTAGATGGTTTGGTCACATTAAACAGAGGCCTTCTGATGACCCAATAGGGAAAGTTGAGGTATTAGATTTGACTTATATTAATAAAGATAGAGGTAGACCTAAGCATCCTCGTATCTACAACACTTAACTTAGTATTATGCTTCTCAACATAAGTATTATTAAATCCTTTCTTTCCAAGAACTCTTCATAGTACCTCTCTTGGAACTTTATCATATGCTTTCTCTAAATCAATAAATATCATATGAGATGGTTGTGAGACCTACAATGTATTCCAATTCAAGTAAAGTATACTTGTTCGAAAGTATAGCACGTACACTTGTTAATGATGCATTTCTTCTAATAATTGTTCATGGATATTAGAAAGTCCGGGCAGCGTCCAATATAGATTAGAGAGGGAGTATGGGAAGATCTGAGTAGAGCTTGGGCGACCCCTGAGTTCACAAAAATAAGATAGCAGAATAAATAAAATAAAGCATCCGACTGTGGGGGTTTATGAAGCTCTCTTCATACTGGTGTATATGTTCCTTATACGGAACATAGATGATGATTGGTAAAAGCTTTAAATTAGTTTATTAAATATATTTATTTTATTATAACTATATCTTATATTTTTAGAAAGATTTTCTTGGTCAGGAGCCAACACCGCTGGAGTTGTATATGAGAATTCTTTAATATGAAGTTGTAAATTAGTAGGTTAATGAAAAGGCTAAAAAGGCTCATATGAGTATAATTTTTTAAAATTTGGGAATATTAATTTATTATAATAAAACTAATTCTAATATCAATATATTTTATGGATTTATTCTCGCAGGATGATTTTGTACGAGCTCGAAAAAGTCGTCAGTCCACTAGTGAGGGATCATCTTCAGGATCGATCCAAATTTTTTAGTATCATATATGATCA